AGGGTTATTTCAAGCCCAGCCGAAGCCAGGATATCGTGTGGTATGCTTCATCTCCCAATTTGATAATCGTACACTCCCAAGATCCAAGCCATCGTGTCAGCAGCTAGATGACTCAAACAAAATTGCAACACATACACTGCCATAGCTCCACACATCCCTCGTCCGAACCTAGCAAGCCAGTAGGAAGTCACTAGGGAGCAAAGTCCTGCTCGCAGGTTCTCTTGGCTTTCCTTCAGGTGAACACGTCCAGGAATCCAGTATCCGCAGCCGCCGCAGTAGTACTGCTGTACTGTGTAGTAGTAGCAGGAAATCCAGGTTGTAGTCTACCCATCCGTTGTCCAAGCAAAGGTTTGTGATTCCGTGAGCGAAGGAGGTACCACCGCCGTCGAAGGGTCGAAGGCACTGTCTGCCAGATGTAGGCTGTGTGATAGATGGTGCTACCTGTCTAAGTGTTCGTCGCCTACCCACCCGTGAGGGTCGTGACGAGGCGCCGTGGTGTGTGTGTATGTGTGCGTGCCACAACACGCGAGCGTGTGTGTGCGTGTGCTAGGATCGGCCGCTCTAACCGGTGACCTTGTAGCAGACGACGGTGTTTCAGTGCAGCTGAAAATAGAAAAATGCTTCTGAAGGTCGTCATCTGGGACGCCGTGAGTGATCTGGGACCCCGTGAGGTCAGGTGTGTGTATGTGGATGTGTTTTTGTGGTGATCGTTGTCATTTTCATTTCGCAAAGACCCGGTTATTGTATACCTTTCTTCGTCTCATCTGTCATCTCTACATCCAATAAGTGCCTCACGACCATCGAGGTGGTCGAAGACGTAGTTAGGATCGTGCAATAACCACTGGACGTTGGAATGCGAGCTTCCTCACGGAGTGGTGAGTCCTGTTATTGAAATGGTGGATGCATATGCACACACGCAACATCGGGATGGAAACGAAAAAGCTGAAGAAACCATGTCGATAACTCCTCCTGTGGCCTTCATTACCGTATACAAGTACATAGTAGTACTCAATATGAAAGATGTTAGCTACAGTACGTACAGTATATGTGATTGTGGTAGAGAACCCTCAGGTCGCGCATACGGGATGATTACACCACGTTGTCTTCATTTTCCCAAGCACCTTCGAGGTAGTTTCAGAGTAGCAGTGATTTTCGGGGATAGCAAAGCACCATAAAATATGTAGTAATCCATTCGCCGAAATCATCCGTATACACGTAGGAACCCGCACGCATGTCTGCTGCACAGCGGTGTCAGAGTTGTGGGGAAGTTGGTGCATCACACAGCAATGGGAGGCTGTGTCTGTGTATATCTCGTCCCGTCACCCATGCCATCCACCATTTTAGAACATGCCGGACCCCCCGTGTTTCGCATGGCGTTGGTGTGGTTGAAGATTCCGGCGACAATTGTCGATGGTGCGGCATGGACTTCCGTGAAGGAGTGCTTCTTCACCGTGATTCCTCCGCACGTGTCCGTTGACCGCGGGCCTCACGCCAACCGAGACATCCAAGTACCCGCTGCCATTTCCACTCGCCTTCTCGGCAAATGGCAGCAGGTACTT